TGTGTGTGTGTGTGTGTGTGTGTGTGTGTGTGTGTGTGTGTGTGTGTGTTTGACACTACAGCGAGAACACACATTTTAATAGCAACACATATTATACTTTTCTTATAATTCTGCTGCATCAGCTTCTTCTTCCTCATAAAAACTGAATTCATTCTAGACTGAAAAGTTCCATCAGGCAGACTGTAAACTGCAAACTCATGCCTGCTGCAGGACTGCATGAAACCCTTTAGTTCTTGTAAAATACCATTCATCTTCCTCCAGAAACTGCAGCTGACTGGAGTTTGTGCATCTGCTCTTGCTTTCTTTTTTTTTCTTGTGCTGATTTCCTGTGACCTGTATTCTCAGTAAACATCCACCCAGATGATGCATCTGTGCACATTTACAGCCTAACAAACATTTATTATTTAAGAATCAAAAAATGAATTATTGAAATACCTTAGTGCATCAATATTTCTTTTACACATCCAAAGAAAATATAGCTTATTGTACAGTTGTATAATGCAGAATTTCTTTCATTTTGTCCCTCAACATTATTCTCAGATGAGTTTTAAAAACAGAATTTTCAGAGATGGATGAAGGAACGAACAGAATCTATGAAAACTGTCATTTTCTTCCTCTCTGCAGCTCCTGCCAGGGCTTTGACATTGACATTATTATGGCTGCTGTTTGCGCGCGCGCGCGYGTGTGTGTGTGTGTGTGTGTGTGTGTGAGATAACTATTGAATTCAAGCCAGGCTGTCTTGCAAAGCTGCTGACACAGCACACAAACACACACATGATGGCTGTGTGCACAGCCATCTGCATGCGCACACTCATGATGGTTGAACAGACTATGTTGTGCAGGGGTGTGTAGGTGTGTGTGTGCGTGTGTGTATTAGAGCTGCACTATATATTGAAAATTTATCGTCCTCACAATAACAGCCTGTGCAATAGTCATTTCAAAATAAACTACAATAAATGGTTGCATTTACGTGTTTTGTCAGCATCAGTCTGATTAACGAAACGGACCCAAGATCCCACATCAAACCAAGACCACAGGAGAAGATGTTGCAATGAGAGAATTTACAGTTGGATTTAGATTTGTAAATTCTTATTTAAAATTATTTAACTCATTTTCAAATGTTTTCATTATCTATTTAAAAAAATGATACTAAGGGATGTTTTCAGTATTAAGAGCATCAAGAAATATTTAGTGGGGCAATGTTTTAGTCATTAACAAACTACTTGTTGTTTGTTTTTGCTCTGAACCAAGAGCAGAAAGACATCAACCCTGCAATACTTGAATATTTGTTCATTTATCACAAGTCATATTGCAATATTAAGCACTTATCGCACATCGCTTGTTTTCCTGACATCATGCAATCCATGTTTGTGTGTGTACCTGAGATTGTGCATTGACATTTGCACCATGTGTGACGAGCTCCTTCACTACATCAGTCTGTCCAGCGAGAGAAGCTATGTGGAGGGCAGTGTTTCCTTTCTGTTGGGAAAGAAAAGACATTTTAGGGAAAGTGATTTTTTATTTGTAAGGTTTAGCTGCTGCATGAGTCTCTCTGGGAGTTAAAAAAAAAGATGCTGCAAAGTGAACAAACTAGGGCTGGGCAAAATGGTACAGTGTGCAATTAATCTTCARTAAAACTRTCAACTMTTAATATTTGCCACTTTGCAATTACTTCARTTAGTGGCATGTGATGGTGTRMKTTTTTGTAAGACACTATYACCATCAGGCGTGCATGTGAGSCCAATGGTGGAAGGTGGCGTAGAAGAGCTAACACTAACACTAAGAACGTGTTTAATCACCTGAAACATGGATGGAAACTGGAGTACGAGAAAGGTCAGGACATGCACACTGAGGCCACATCGGCTACATGCAAGTGCCATCATCTTATTAATCGTTATCCACTAAATGCAACAATTAATCGTGATACATTTTTGCATCAATACTGCCCAACCCCAGAACAAATCTCAGTTTGACAAATATTCTACAAATTTAAAGACAAGCAAACAACAAAGATTTTATTATAAATAATTTCTCATAAATCAGCAGAAAACCACTGAAACAGACACCATTAAAATGTAAACACGCTGGTNCACACACACACACACACACACACACACACACACACACACACACACACACACACACACACACACACACACACACAGCAGCAACATGGTCGCCTGCCTCTCATGGCAGCAGATGATTATTTTAATATGTAAGAATAAAAATGAAGAAAATGACAAAACAGCTAAAATTAGACAACGTGGTAAGAACAGCAGTACACACAATAAACTTTGAGATAAAAACACCTGTTGTGTGTGGGTACATGTTTTTGTTTGTACACACAGCTTGGTGAAGTTTAGGACAAAAGTCGGGTCCTCATCGAGGAAAATACTGTTGGTGGGTCAGGGGTTAGGGTTAGGACTAGTGTGTGAATTGAGTTTAGGTTAGATTTAGGATCCTGTATGTACTGGGGTGGCTAGGTTTAGGGTAAGGGGACAGGGTTAGGTTGTAGAAATGATCAGTAAATGAATGGAGGTCAATGCAAGTTTATGGAAGTCAAGTCTCTGTGACAAAAGACAAACAAATGTGTGTGTGTGTGTGTTACAGCAGCTGCTACCATGCTGTGATTCATACAGCTACAACACACTCTTAATTTATCGGAGACCAGCTCGACAACAGGGTTCCAGAGTTTCATGTCGACAGGGTGCGTGTGATCATGAACRGTTTGATCTTTTACTGAATGTGAACAGAAACAAGTGRYAAAAACCAAAACCATGATAAATCTTGGGGAAAAGAGCAGCTTGTTAAAGAATATTCACCCCACAGATCTATATCTGCTGTTTGGGTTCAGATGACTCTACATATCGTCTCCCCTCCCTCTCCAGTCTGTGTGCACGCTGGAACACAAATACTGCACTATCAATCATTTTTACTCATCAATAGTTTGGTTTTAATTTAATTTAATTTCTTCAAGTCAAATTGTTTGAAAAGTGAAACAAAAGCTCACATTTAAACATCTGTCCCAGGTCTAAATATAAATCTGAGAGGGATAAATGATTTTATTACACTGTGGGACCTAGATTAATCCTTCACGGATTCGGCTAATAGGTGTAAAAAATGAGACCAATTTGGCTTTAAAATTTGGACATTTTACAAATTAAAAGGGAGAATGTAAATATTTGTGACCCTTCACAATGAACGGAGGATTAAGTGACTACGCAGCTGTAGTGCATTAGTTACCACGACTGAAATAACTGCATTTTGTCAAAATATAATGGATAAACTCCTTACCTAAAAGTTGCCTGTGAAGTTGAAGAATTTTTTGAAGCACTTTTTTGAGGGGTAGCTACAAAAAAAAAAACATGATTCTGAGCAGGAAAAAAATATATATTTTTTGTCATTTCCCCTGCGAGCTAGTAAAGCTTCTTTCCTTTCCAGCTGGTAAATCTTAATATCAAAATATTGTTTGAGGTTTCCTCTTTAAAATTTCAACAATTTCTCATTAGAATAACAGGATTCAGACCAAATATTAAAGGGTTATCCCGATTAGGAAGACTAATCAAGCCATATCTCTGGAACATCTCATGATATCAGGATGATCCAGGTATCAAAATGTAGCTTAAAAAGAAAATCTAAAAAAAATGTACTCAGACCATTTTGACCAAATTTCACTTCATCCTCAGTAGGATTGATTTCATTTGAATTTTATAAAATAAATTCATTAGGCAAGAGATCAATTTTTTTCCTCCCATGACGTTAACCTCAGTGATCTTGTGCGAGAGGTGTGTTTGTTTTATGTCACTCCTGGCTTGCCATACGTTTACATCCTGTTGACGCTCAGCCCTAATGTTTACGTTAGCATTGTCTGGGGCAAAACCAAAAAAATAAAAAATAAATAAACTAAGGATTCACTATTACCAGCTGATACTCTGCAGGACTTAAAGATAACAGGCCAAGGCAACTTTTGTTTGCAAAGAYTTACGCTCATATTTGTTGGAAAACGGAGGTTTCAAGCGGCTCGTTCAGGTTGTTGAACTAAACTACGGTACATTATGGTGCAACGTAAACACTTGACTGAAACMGTTTTCTCTGGGATGTATAAATGTGGGAAAGAAGACATATTAATGAAATWGTTTTGTTACCACTATAGTTATTTTTACACTTTAAGAAACAATGTCTTTATGAAATTTACAGTGATGGAATGATGTAAAGTACACTTTCACTTGCAATTCCTTTCAGACTTGATATGTCTTAAATTTGAAATGTACAGTTTACAATAACTTTTAACAATTTACCTCTGAAAACGTGTGTGTGGGGAAAAAAAACAACAACAACTAGAGTTGTTAATGGTTCAGTCTGCGTGACGTGCAGCTGGAGGGAGAAATAATCCCTGCGACAATATTTCAGTTATGTGAAGGCTATACTACAGCGGTAGGCAGAAACTGAGAAATTATCCAATGTCTACGTGCTTTAAAATGCTATATTTAATTTATTTTCCAGGATTTTTCAATCAAATGGACAAAAGAAAAGAAATTACACGCCCAGTCAGGCAGGCAGCGGGACACATCCACCTGTCTGAGTATATATTTTACCTGCCTCAGGCAAACCTGTTTGTCAAACTTAATTAACTACATACTGTTGTTCAAAGGCTACATTTGTTAACATCAGGGTCATTTTCACAGGCTTGAGCTAGAAAAAACATTCAGCTTAACCTTCCTTGGTACCATTCTTTTCCTTTGCTCTCCCTACTTCAGAYTGTCTCCTCCAGTTTTGTCAGCCAGGCCAGAACCGACGGTGTTGGTTTTACAAAATAAAGTAAATTTTAAATACATTTAAATACATTTCAAACTCTGATTATAGTTAGTACAAGTGCCAAAAATATAATATATTAATATATTTGATATGCTTTACATTGTTTTAATGTACTGTATTATTTTAAAAGAAAAACTTTATTCTGAAGGTGTGGCAGCTTTTATTTTGCTGTGGCGGTGCGCCACGATCAAGTACATGTAGAGGAAACCCTGAATAAAATAAATTTGTATTTTGCTACACAGTTGAGCCATTTTCAGCCGGGGCGGCTGTGGCGGAGTGGTTAGGCGAGTCGTCCTGGAACCAGAAGGTCGCAGGTTCGATCCCCTGTCCAGCCGTCTCAGTCGTTGTGTCCTTGGGCAAGACACTTCACCCACCTTGTATGGCTTGGATGTATGGCAGCCCCACCTCTGTCAGTGCGCCCCAGGGCAGCTGTGGCTACAGTGTAGTTTGCCATCATCAGTGTGTGAATGTGAGTGTGAATGGGTGAATGTCTGTTAGTGTAAAGCGCTTTGGGGTCCGGGGGGACTTGAAAAGCGCTCTATAAGTTCAGTACCATTTACCATTTACCATTCAGTATTAAGAGCAGATCGAATCGAATCGTGATTAATCAATTCAGAACTTTAAGAATCAAATCAATTTAGGGAATTGACCATGATACCCAGCCCTAATCCTCAGCTTGATGTGATGGGTCACAATTATAAGAAACAGTAATCAACACAATGTATTAATATATGACCAATTAAAGCATAAATTGTAGAAACCACACCAGAGAACAGCTCAGCAGGCTTGTATCTGACGCATAATTTCCATAATGATTATTATTCATAATTAATAAACAGGCCATTTATCAGCACAATTTCTAGATTGATTTCATGTTGAATGAATTCACTGCGATTTATTCCTTCATTAATGTGTCCTGTGAGTGTTTTACACCAACGGCAGACGTTCACGTGGTGAAACATTGAGGCGTCGACAGATTTTACTACATCTGATCTCCTCCTCAGCCATTCATCTCTCCGGCTGCTGTTTAAGCAATGTGCCTTTGGGGAAAGGTGCAAACTCAGCAGAATGCGGCAGAGAACCGGTGCACGCGCGCCCGGGCGAGCGCTAGTGCCTCTGTGTTTATTTGGCTGCCGGGCTGTAACGCACCTTAGTGGCCGCGTCCACGTTGGCGCCATGCTTGATGAGCTCAGCCACCACTTCCACATGGCCCTCCTTCGAGGCCAGATGGAGAGCGTTCAGACCATTCTGGGAAGTAAACAAGCAAGAGAAAAAATAATTATACACCTAGATTTTTAGGTAACGCTTTCTTTTACGGTACCCTTATTACCAAGTAATTAAAATGTAATTAAATGGTAATTACTACTTTATTACCATGTAATTATGTGGTAATTAGGGTACAATTTTACTATGTAATTAATGGTCGGCAGTAATGTAGTACTTACCTGGTAATGTATTACAATTCACTATGTAACACCTAAATAAGTAGTAGGTAATTTGGACAGTTTTAAAGTTATATTTTATTGCAATTAACCACTAACCCCAAATTTTAGTTGCATTCTTTTGGTTATAAATATAATTTTGAGGTTACTATTGAATAGTAATTTGATTGTAGTTACCCAATAAAGGTAGTTTTACTAACAGTAGATTTTCTTTTGTACTCTAATGCTACGTTCACACCGAACGCATTTTGAGCTGCCAAAAAGCACAAAACGCCTCTCGTTGGACGCACTATTTTC